GTGCTACAATGGTCCATGGCTTAGAAATACCGCCGATGCAAAATCTGACCCCCCAATGGCCAAAAAGGCAAAAATGCACAAGAAAAAGGGAAATTTGAAAACCAAAATTGACAACGATTTTAAATTATCGTTTAGCCCTTGGCCACACTTCAAACATGATTAATGAGACCCTATGAAAGAATAAAAATGAAATTCCCACACCCGATGCAACCATGGTGAGACAAAGACTTGGCATTTTTCAATATTTTCATAATATTTTATGAAGTTTAAAAGTTACATGGAATACAATATACGTGTCATTGGCTTCCGGCCTCATCTCATACATGTCAAATACACTGCAAAAGGTGCACTTATGTATACATTACATACATGGAATAAGGGATATAAGTTTTGACGTATAAAGCTACAAAATGACATATTATGCTAACATTTGCAAGAAATGTAAACTTAAAAGCTACTAGTCATCCAATGAATGATAAGCATCACGAACCAAGCCTTCATACCTGAAACAAATCCCCAGTAACTTCGGTGTGAGTAACATAAAGCTACTCGTAAGAAATGATCATGCATCGACCTAGCATTTTACAAAATTATCACCTTATGGCGAAATGTGTTAAAGGGGCTCATGAATCAAGATATATATGAAACAAGACATAGGTATCTAAAGTTATTAACATGTAACTTAGAATGCGATAACTACTGAAACGGTTCATGCCACCTAGAATCTAAGTCAAGATGTTTACATAGGATCATTCCTACTTCATATCAACATGAAGCAACATGAATCAAGATATATATGAAATTGAACAAGGTTGGGATAATCAAAGGAATATGACAAGTTTATAATTTAACATGAGTTACATTACCAATGTAATTGAACAAGATTTGAAATAGTCCACACAACACGACAAGAATGATACTTAGATACAAGGATCACATTATCAATACAATTAACATGATTGGAACATTCCAATTAACATGATAAAAATAATACATGAAATCAAGGATAATGCGTAATATCTATGCAATTAGATAAAGTTGGAACAATTTATATAACACGAAAAGTTTTAAATCCTCAAGGAATGCAATACTTGAAATTTAAAGAGTGAAATCCAAGATGAAGCATAAAGTCTATGCAATTAAACAAGGTTAGAATATTCCATATGACACGAAAAGGTCTTAAATCTTCAAGGAATACAACACTTGAAATTTAAGGAGTGAAATCGAAGAATAAGCATAATATCTATGCAATTAATAAGATTGGAGCATTCCACATAACACGACAAGTTTTAAATCTTCAAGGAATAACAACTTGAAATTTAAAAAGTGAAATCAACCAATGTGGATACTCGGATATTGCCCGGATTAAAACCGTAATCTTGGGATCACTTTAGGGCTACTAACCCATGGGTACCTTTCTTTAGTGCGCACTATAGTGTAGGGAGCTTTCTATCTCCAGTACTAGAACCAAGCCCTAACCATGTCAATTATTGATTGATATCCCAAGTTCTAAAATCAACAAGTTGTGCAATCAAGAGTGTATCAAGATACAAGTAATGCATTAAATCACATTCCATGCACAACCAAGATTTTGGAACACACAAGTCATGCCCTAAGTTCTCAACTATAATGGCATGTAAATGTCAATAAATCGTATTATGCATCTACATAGACTACGAACTAGTATTTATAACATAAGGAATATATTGATGTAAATATACCACTAGTATAAGATTAATAATTTAATTATTTGTTTAACAACACTTGAACAATTATATCATTCCAATGTAAGGATACAAGTTCATTAACTACATTAATGAAGCTAAGTTGCAACAAGTCATAATATATGATAAAAATGTAAAAACCCCATGAAATAGATGTCCAATTTATTAGAACACTAAATAGAAATTAATTAACCAAATTAATTAATTTCTCTAGAAATCATAGTTGTCAAAAAATTCTCAAAATAATATATTTGAATGTCCATTCCATGGTGATTGCAAATATCACAGCAATTTCACAAAGTGAGCAAGATATAAACATGTGGAATTTAATCAACATAGAAATAATTAAATTACTAATTTTCAATAGTTACCCAAAAATTCTCAAAATAATATGTATGAATGTCCATTCGATGGTGATTGCATATATCAAATCAAAAGTGCAAAATGAGCAAGATATCATCATATATAATTTAATTAATTTAAAATTAATTAAATCTCTAGATTTCAAAGGTTATTCAAATGATCCCAAATTAATATAGAGTAAGGATTAAGTCATGGCCATTCTATATATCAAGTCAAAAATGGAATACAAGCAAGGTATAATTAAGTAAAATTTAAATCAAATTAAATTAATTTCTAGAACTTAAACAAAAGCATGCATACAAGTTGTATAAGCATCAATAGCATTTAAGACAACAAAAATATAAACTATATAATCCCCTACCTCAATTTGGGATGAAAATCTCAAATCCCCACCGAAATGAAACCGCTCCGAATCCAACGATACTTCGAGATTTTGTCGGGGACAACACGGTGAACAAGAACCCCAATGAAGCCCCATCAAAATCACAACTTGACTTCAAACCCGAACTCAAAAAAATGGCCAAAATGAGATTCCAATTGGTGGAATCGAAGGCCTCGCCAAGGCGAACATAAAACACTAAGGCACTGTGACTTTTTACTGAAGGGAGGAAGCTCAAAAGAAGAGAGAGAAGGCTGCAGCCATGGCTACCATGGAATCTGGCTAAGAGAGAGGAGAGAAAGAGAGAGAGAAAAGTCAGATTTTTCTTTCTAAGACCCCCTATTTATAGAAAAACTCTAAAAGTGTCATGAACGGGCCCTGCCGGGTCTGGAAAAGTGAAATTTGAGCAGACGTGCTCAAACGGCAAAACTCTGTGAACAAAAAAGAACCAACATGAGAAAATATGAATAATGAAAGAAACGACGTCAAAAATTGAGTTTCGAGCAGAGAGATATATCCCGAACAAGTTCGGCGGCAATCAGGGTAAAAAAATCCCTAAAACTGGAGAAAACGACCAGGAGGAAATCCTAAGAGTACAAGACTCGATGAAATATAAAAATGAATCCTATACGAGGATCCAGACTCAAAACGAGACATCTTTACAATAACTTTCGTTAATTGCACAATGGTCCCTTCAAAAAGGGTTAACAGCACTAATGACCCATAATGAAAATATCTTCCAAAAATATTTTCTTAAAAATCCCTGAAATAAAATATCTTCAAAATATATTTATGAAAAACACCCCAAGAAAGAAAAGGATTTTGAATAACTGTGCATCCACGCCCCTGCGGACACCGGGAGCAACCAGAGTACTTTTCTATAAAAGTAAAGATACGTATTTTGTGGAAACCACATAGAATGAGGAGACGTGAAGTCAAAAACCAACTTCGAGCACGAAAAGTAAGGTTGTGCCAAAAAGTGACAAACGGGGAAAAGACAAAATAAGAAAAAGGACGAAAATTGAATAGTGTCGAAAAACGAAAAAATGTGGAAATAACTCGATCCTTAAAGGAAGTTGTCAATCTAAACGAAAGAGTCTCGGAAACCATTTCCAAGCACTCGAGACGACACCCAGTGAAGAGAAACAGAACTCGGAAAAGAAATTTAAACGGAAAAATTTATCCGTAAAATTTAAGAAAAATGAAATGAAGGAAAATGACCGGGTCATTACAACCAGGCTGTTTTTTGGGCCATAGAATTTAAGTTTCTGGTGTTCTGCTTTGAGTCGGATTCTAAACGGGTGGTGGATGCTATTGATGGAGCTTGTTCTGGAGATGGCTCGATTATGTCTTTAGTCTCAGAGATCAGAAGGGAGCTTCAATCTTTGTCTGGGTTTTCCATTTCGCATGTTCGAAGACAAGGAAATCGAGTGGCGAATGCTCTTGCTAGGCTATTGAAGATTGGTTTGACTAAGGATTTGGTGCGCCAGTCTTTGTCGTTGCCCGTTTTTAAGCTTGGGATGGATATTGCAGCAGCTGCTTCTTAGTTTAGTTTGTGGTTCTTGTGAGTTTGAGTTGCCAAGAATTTTATTTACTTATTTTTTCTTTTGAGGCCTTCCAAAATAAAAGGCTAGTAAGAAGAGTGAGTGGGCCAAAAACCAATTTTCAACTTGTTGTACCTGGGCAAATATGTAGGCTTTTATTTTTGGGCCATGTTCAAATTTTGAAGCCTCCCAAATTTGGAGGCCCAAGGTGACCGCCTTGGGCGAGGGCCGACCCCGGTGATGAACAGGGATGCTTGTTTTATGTGTTGTGAAATGAACTTCTTATATTAATAATTGCATTTAGATTTATAATATTTTTTAAAAAATTGCCCAAAAATTAATATATATATATATATAATTTATTAATTTTTTATTGCCGTATCCTGTCATACCATATCTTTTTTTTTTTTTAAATTTACGATATCACTATATCCGTATCGTATCCACATTTCGTATCTGTATATGTGCTTCCAAGATCCTATTCAAGTTGATTTGTTTGGTATGAGTGGGTTAGAAACTTAGAACCCACGGTTTGTGTTTGAATTTAAGGCCTTGTTTGGACAGCCCTTTGTATTTTTTCTGTTTATTTGATGCCTTCTCCATTCGGCCTCCTTTTGTTTTGGGTTTTACTCCTTTCTGCGGCCCGGTTGGTCGGTCATTGGGCATACGCTGTTAGGCCTTGGGTATGCCCCCAAGTATGTAAATTATTTCCATCGATACATCTTTTTACAAGATACGGAGTAAGTTGATAATAATGGATTATTAGTTAATTTTAGATTGGCCCGTAACTAATGGTTCCGAGACCATTGTCAAAAATTCGGTAAAATTATTTTGAGGTTAGCCCATCACCTAGGCCCATACATTAATAAAATTATGTACTACAATTTATTCTGAGGTTAGCCCATTACCTCGGCCCATTCATTAATCAGCCCACTTAATCGTAGTCTGCCATTTTAGGTTTTCACACACATATATATAAGTATCTATTTGTGTGTGTATATACACACTTCGCGGTGTTAGGGTTTTCGCCATTCTAGGGTTTCAGTCGCCTCCTTAGAGAGAAGAAGTCAGAGAGAAAAGAGAGAGATGAAGACCATATTGTCATCAGAAACCATGGACATCCCTGAGGGGGTGAAGATCAAAGTGAAGGCCAAGATGATCGAAGTGGAGGGTCCACGAGGCAAGCTCACTCGCAACTTCAAGCACCTCAACCTCGACTTTCAGCTCATCACCGACGAAGAGACCGGCAAGAAGAAGCTGAAGATCGAGGCCTGGTTCGGATCTCGCAAGACCACCGCCGCCATCCGCACCGCCCTCAGCCACGTCGAGAACCTCATCACCGGCGTCACCAAGGGTTACCGCTACAAGATGCGATTCGTCTACGCTCACTTTCCAATCAACGCCAGCATCACCAATGGCAGCAAGTCCATCGAGATCCGTAACTTTCTCGGTGAAAAGAAGGTCCACATTTCCTTTGTCTCTTGTGATCATCATAATTTTTTATTTAGCTTTTTGATCTATGAATTAATTGATTCGTTGCAGTGTGTTGTGTGGTAGATCAAAGTAGTTACATTTGGGTGTTTTTGGTTATTTGTTCTTACACTAAATTGAGGGTTTCTCTTATATGCTTATATGTTTATTTACGTTGATTTACTCTGTCTGTGTCTCCGTTAATGAAGTTCTGGTAGAATGTCCAGATTTTCCTTCTTTATTTTATTTTTTTAATTTTTTCTTCTTGTGATTTATCATAAATTGTTTAGCCTTTTGATATATAAATTAATTGGTGTCGTTGTTATATGTTGTGGTAGATCGAATGAGTTACATTTGGGTATTTCTGATTATTTGTTCCTACACTTAATTGTGCTTTTTTTTTTTTTTGAATTGAAGGGTTAATTTAGACGTTTATTTACGGGTGTCTCAGTTAATAAACTTCTTGAAGGATGTGAAAAGTTCCTCATTCCCCTTATTTCTTGTGTTGTTTTGTATGTGAGACTCTTTAGCTTATGAGCTGTAAATGATTTGTTTTATTGCAATATATTGTGGTAGATCCAATGGGTTACAGTTGGTTTTTATTTATTGATATTATTTCTTATATATATATATATATATATATTTATGAATTGAAAAGCTAGCTTTTCAATTTTTTTAATTTAATGCTGAATGACTAGTATCTCAGTTAAACTTGTTGTAGAATGTGATAATGGGTTACAGTTTTACTAAAGGAATAGCCAATACAAACGTAAAAGATGTTTGCTAGTTGTACATTGGGTATAGTGTTTAACCGGCTTAAACAAAAATGAGATTAGGGGTTAGCTTGAGTACACAAATTAGGGTAGATTGATTTTGTTGCGATGTGTCATGGCAGATCAATTGAGTTGCTCTTGGTTTCTTTACTTTGTTTTAACTTTTCTTATTTTTTTGAATGAAAACTGTTTCTTTCTAAAATGTAGGGTTTAATTTATTTGCTGATTTACTCATGTCTAGGTTAATATTCTTATATTATGTGATAGAAATGATTAGATTTTCTGTGTTGACTGTTGTGGCCGACAATCATATCCTTCATACATGTTTCTATATCTATCTATATATATATATGCGAATGTATTTATATATATTATGGACTATTCAGATTGAAGCTTATATTTTCCCTACAAGAGTTTTGGTCGGTAGCCATTCATGCATGTTAAGTTAATAAAGCTTCTGTAGAATGTGATCAAAATTATAAAATGTACTTAATTGCTGTAGTTTCCATTCATAGCCTTAATTATGTATGTATAATATAAACTTGTGTGTTCTGATTGAATTTTGTAGTGTTTACAAAACTATTGTATATAATTTGTGATGATCAACTTCAAACTTTGGTTGACTGCCTTAGTGCCTGCTGGAGAGCTAGGGTTCTGTCATTTGAGGCCAGTGCACATGCTTGGAGGCATCTAAAGGAAGTTCATCAACTTGTTCTGTAGTTCTAGATTTTTGGCAGCATTATCTTTGTACGGTCTCTCCATCATTAGATGGTCTTGAAAGATCTTATATCCTTAAATGATACTTCTCATGAATCGTGCCCAATGGGATCTTTTGATTATTTCTTGTGTTACCTATGCAGATGGTTTGATTACCGTGATGTAGATGGAGAACTTATCTTCTATGATGCCTCTCCCATAAAAAGTTGCTTTCATTTTAAATTTTTTTTGAATGGACAAACAAGGGAAAAGGAAGAGATTTTGACATGGCATGAGTGTTTCACTAGTGATGTGATACAATCATACAACTCTGTTGTTTAGCTAGAAAGTTCTGTTTATTTAGAGCTATAACATGGCATGAATAATCTTTAGAAGACTAATTTAGTTTTGTAGATTGTTTGAATAAATTTTGCATATTTATAGTTGTATGGATACATATGTAAATTTGTATTTTAAGTTTAAACTGTTTTGTTGAATTTTTCTTCTTTTTACTATTGATATGGACATATTATCGGCGTAGTATAGATTGATCTATCCAGAATCTAAACTTAGGGGGCATAGCAGCACAGCAAATGGTAACTCTTTATCAATTCATCTATTATTGTAAGTTGCCCCTTTGCGCATAAACCAATTCACAACTTAGTTGATTTGTGATTTATTTGCATTGCAATTTTTCTGTTCTCTTGACCTCACTTGAATATGATCACTACTTCTGAGAAAATGAAGGGGTTTTCAGTTGTTTCAATGATAATTGAAACATCCTTCACTTGCATATGGGATAATTAGACTGCCCTTTGTTCTAATCTAAAGCTTGAATACCTCCCTCACTTGTATGCCTGATGAAAAACTTGATGGGATGTTTTCAATGATATTTGAAAGTGCTACTTTGTTTGGATTTCTTTCATTTCTTCTTGCACCTATTTATTTGTATATTCACAGTGTGCGAACACATAACCTCAGTGCGTGTGTGTATTTGAATTCCTTTACTTTGTTGTAAATTGATGGTAGAAGATTCTAGATCTACTTTTATGCCCTCAATTTTAGATATCCTCTGGAAATTGCATTTTATTTACTATTTGTTGCAATGCTCAAAGGTGGTATAATAATTCATAAGAGACCATGTTGAACTTGTTTGTGGTCTTATTGTTTCCTATTGATTGAATCAGGTGAGAAAAGTTGATATGCTTGAAGGGGTTTCAATTACCAGGTCTGAGAAGGTTAAAGATGAACTTGTATTGGATGGGAATGATATCGAACTTGTTTCTCGTTCTTGTGCGCTGATAAACCAGGTACATCTCTTCTTAACACACACATTTTCACTCTTACCCTCACTCTCTCTCTTATTCGTTGGCTTTTCAATTGCCCTGCCTTTCTCTGCATTAGCTCCACGTGCTGAGATTTATATCTATATTTGTTGTAACAGAAATGTCATGTGAAGAACAAAGATATCCGGAAGTTCCTTGATGGTATCTATGTGAGCGAGAAGGGAGCAGTAGCTGTGGAAGAGTGATTAGTTAGCTAGTGGGTATTTGGAGTTTTATCGGTCTTCTCTTTTCTGGCGACATTGGCTGATTATTATCCTCTTTTTATCACCGAAGTCTTTTTGAACGTATTTTATATATCACATTTGTTTTGAATTTACAGTTTTGTGCTGTCTAGACTCCGTTTTAAATAGACATGATTGGTTAAATACCATTTCATTGTTCCCCGTTATTTATGTTTTGATTAAATGGAGCTTAAGTACTTGATGTGTGTTATGATTGTCTCAGTGGCACAGAAAGTTTAATTAAAATTTCTGGTAGATGCTATAAATGGCTAAAGTCATAATTTATTGATTGAGATTCTATGTGCATAATGCAATTGTCATTCCCCTATTACAAGTTACATGAGATGTGTTGGAAGGTTCTAGAATACATCTATTTGGGTTTGGGTTTGGATTTGGATTTGGTCTTGGATGAAGTATTTTAGTTAGGTCTAGAACTTTGAAATCATTTGCATTGATAGCTCACCAGCCTAATAAATATGTTGTAATCCTGTTAAAAAATATTTTCGAACGAAAAACACACTTATGGGAAAGCAATGTGGTCAATTAAATATGTTTTACTCGTCCTTTTTCATTTTCATTGCCTACGTTTTTTTGGCTTGACTATCTTTGGGGTTTCACAACACATTCTGGTTGCATTAGTGGGCAATTTGGCTGGCAGTAGTTGTTATGCAATAATGTGCATCAGTGGCAATTCGGCCGTAGTAGGCGGGCAATGTGCATTAGTGGCAATTTGGCAGTAGTAGGCATACGGGTAAAATTATATTGTCTGCTTGCTTTGTTCAGTATTTTTTTTTTTAATTATTATTATTTATTTTTTTCTCTTTTTCTGAACAGTCTTTTATAGTATCCAGTTTTCTGAAATTATTTTGTTCCTGATTGTGTCACAATAGTTGACATGACGTGAACATGAGAGTTTAATTAAATTACAAATTATATAAGTTAGAATATCACATTATTCAAATATAAAAAGATTATGTTATCTTATTTATTATCTTGTTTTTGTTTGATGATGTTTATAATGTTTTTTTTTTTTTTTTTTTCGTATTTCTTTTATACAAGACGACGAGGATGTGGTTGGTTGATTGTCCCGAATATGTTAACCTAGTTTGAGATGTGTTGACGAGACCGCCGACACAGAGTGTCCAATATCCAATCGAGTGTATGATTGATGTGTTTAAGATGCGAGGATCAAGTACTTGAAATAATGCTCTGCACAACTTATTTTTAAATAGTGAACACGACCATTAAATGTTGGACAAGTGCCTTGAAAATGTTGGTGTCCACGGTTTTGGACACCGTAATGTCACGAAGTGATTCCTAAGACGCTTGGAGGATGGAAGACACGCATGCTGGTTGGCAAAGAGCAGAGTTTGACTGGGAATGGTTCCAGGGAAGGGGCGTGCAGGAGCACAGGATGGTACCTCTTCAGAGTTCAGGCAGGTCGACTCGGTTCAGTTCGAGGTGCTTGTCGCTGGTCGTGGACTTGACTATGAAGAAGGGAGTTGGCCATCCCTGCACAAACTGGTCGGGAGCTGGAGCCGTTCCCCTGACGAGGCCATGGCAGGCCGAAACCAGTCAGCATGTATCCTTGGGAGGGCAGGTCGTGGTGGCTGACCAGGGCGCTTGCGCGAGCTGAAGCAACGCCTTGGTGCCGCACGGGCCGTGCCGCTGCGCCAAATCTCTAGGCCCGTGACAAATGGTATCAGAGCAGGACTTGGGGTAAAGCACGGTGGGGTGCCCCCTTGTCGGTCCGGGAGGGGTCAGAGAATGAAGACGGTGCATTGAAGTTGCGTCGATGAGGAGGAATCAATGCAGTTGGGGGGGAGAGCCTCCATCTCCCCAGGAAGAGGCGTCCGTTGAAGTTGCGCATTGAAGGGCCAGAGGGCCGCGCGCACCAAAGTTCGTGCTTAGTCCTTGGGTGATGCAAACCATGGTGAAGGGCGAGCATCAAGTCGGCAGAAAGCCATTGCTTGCTCGGGATGTCGCGGAGGCGGCACGACGGAGAAGAGTCACGTCCTTGAGGAGTGGACGTCCCCTTGGTCCGAGGCCTATCATTGGGCGAGTGCAGTGCAGGGAGCTGCACAAGGAAGCGATGGTGGGAAGGCGAGCATACCGCATGGAGGCAGACTTTGGAAGGGAGTGGACGCAGTAGTGAAGCGCCGCACTGCGACGAGGACGTCGCAGGATTTGGGTGGGGGAGAATGTCACGAAGTGATTCCTAAGACGCTTGGAGGATGGAAGACACGCATGCTGGTTGGCAAAGAGCAGAGTTTGACTGGGAATGGTTCCAGGGAAGGGGCGTGCAGGAGCACAGGATGGTACCTCTTCAGAGTTCAGGCAGGTCGACTCGGTTCAGTTCGAGGTGCTTGTCGCTGGTCGTGGACTTGACTATGAAGAAGGGAGTTGGCCATCCCTGCACAAACTGGTCGGGAGCTGGAGCCGTTCCCCTGACGAGGCCATGGCAGGCCGAAACCAGTCAGCATGTATCCTTGGGAGGGCAGGTCGTGGTGGCTGACCAGGGCGCTTGCGCGAGCTGAAGCAACGCCTTGGTGCCGCACGGGCCGTGCCGCTGCGCCAAATCTCTAGGCCCGTGACAGTAAGCTAAGCTGTTTTATAGGGCACGTCCTAGTCTTTATTGGGACAGTCCCATAGTGTGCTAATGGCTCTATCCTGAAGGTGGATGAAGTTAACTAGGGATTTGTTAAGGACACCAACACCATGCCAATTCAAGGAGGGGCTAAAAGAGTCAAATATTCTGAGAAGAGCTGAAACATTCGTGACATGTATATAATCTATATTCAATTATTCAGGTGTAGAAATGAGAAATGCTGATCGAAAATATGGTGGGACAAATGTATGTGACATTCATACATGTGGTAAGAAAAGAGTCCTGAGTATCCTAACTTCTTTTAATTGTCTTGGTGGGGTTGCTTGCGTCCACTACGAAGAGAATACAATAAAGACGGTTGGTTTCTATGATTTATGAGGTAGCCAATCAAAGGGTCCCAATAAAATAATGACTACTCATCAAGTAGTTTCCATCTCACACAAATGCAAGGATAGGGTGACGTCTTAAACAACCCCTACCACCAACTACCCTATGATATTTCTTGCAAGAAAATGTTAGATTACGACATTTTCATCCTCATCCGTTACAATTGAAGTAGCGGTGTATGTGATTCGAATCGTGTCATTTAAAAAAAATTGTTCTACAACCAAACCAGTCTCAATGGTTTTGTACAACTTGGACTTAAATGGAACGTAAAATTAATGAAATCAAATCAAAATGTTTTGATGGTGAACTTTATCATTGTAAAATTGCTCATCCTAGTAAAGTTCGTTGCACCTACGGCACGTTAATACATCTTCCGAATGCGGAGGACTCTAAATGGGGAAAGATGATCAGCTCGGGTGTGAGCTTTACCTATCCTATTGGCACGAATTCGAAGGATGTATAGTGTTTTTATCTAACAACTAGGCATGGGCAAATCCTAATCCCAGCACTTTCCTCGTTCTAACAATTAGAATTTGGATTTTACCAAGAAATGGTCAATCATGCTTGTCCTGACATAGGATGGGGCCTGAATGACCAGTCCATTAGACTCCCACCATAAATTATTATCATATAAGCAGGTGGTATCTTGTTCAAGTACTCACACCACCACCACCACCACCACCACCACCACCATCTCTACTCTTCTTCTTCATTTTCTTCCCCTAAAGTTTGTATCATGAACTTGTATCAGCTCATTTGCTCTTTCATTTTGATCACGTTGGTATTAAAACACCCAATTCCAGTTGAATCAGCTGAAAAAAGCAGACTCAATAATGGACCTGTAATCAACGTGACCAAGTTCATCTCCTTCCCTGATTTCAGCCCCAACAACCCTAGAATCAACCATGATCTGAAGCTTCTAGGCAGTGCCATCTTCTCTAACGGAAAGGGCTGTATTCAAATCCCTGACATCATCTCCCAAAGAGTTCTTGATCTCAGACACCTCGCCGGCCGAGCCCTTTACTCCTCCCCAATCCGCCTCTTCGATCCCATTTCCGAAACTCCCGCTTCTTTCCACACAACATTCTCTTTCCAATTCAATTCAATCCTCAATTCTACCAATTCCGAACTCAATACAACTGGTGGCGCCACCAGCGGCGGTGTTGGTGGCGGTGGCAGTGGGCTTACTTTCATTATAGTCCCGGACGAGTTCACCGTTGGAAGACCAGGTCCGTGGCTAGGCATGCTGAACGACGTCTGCGACGACGAATACAAAGCCGTCGCCGTAGAGTTCGACACTCACTGGAATCCGGAATTCGGAGACCCTAATGACAACCATGTGGGCATCAATTTGGGTAGCATTGTCTCCACCACAACCATCAATGCCTCCGACGTCGGGGTTCAGCTCAACGACGGCTCCGTCCACCGCGCGTGGATTGAGTACGATGGACGGCGACGGTATATGGAGGTCCGTCTCGGACACGACGGGGAAGACTATCCCTCCAAACCAGTCTTCTCTGGTTCTTTAGACCTCTCGTCCTTTCTGAAGGAATACATGTTCGTCGGATTCTCTGCTTCCACCGGAAATTTCACGCAGATTCATAATGTGTTGTCGTGGAATTTTACGTCGACGAGTCAGGCTTTTCTCCGAGTACCTTCGCCGGAGACTTGTGAGAGTAAGATCATCGTTCAGGGTCTCGAAAATGACAGAAACACTCATAACAAACCGCTGAGTACTAGCTTCATGATCTTCTTAGCTGCTGTTGTTCTTCTCATTTTTGTACTCCTCAATCTATACTACAACAGAAAGCCAAAAAATTCAAAATCAAACGATGTTCCAGTAATATTGCCGGAGAAGAAGCTCCGGCCAAGCCCGCCGAACAAGCCTCGCCGCTTCACCATTGCCGAGATCTCCACCGCCACATGGTGTTTCAGTGAGTTGCAGAAATTGGGTTGTGACAGTAGAAGTGTTACGTACAGAGGAACGAGCTTGAATGGGTGTCCACTCGTGATGAAGCGGTTTTCAACTCAGTTTGTGAACTCGGTGGGTTCGGATAAGAGGCGGGTGGCGAAAGAGATCGGAGCAATGAGCCGGGTTCGTCACCCAAATTTGGTTCCGATCAGAGGATGGTGTTACGACAATCGAGAGACAATTGTTGTGTATGATTATTTTTCCAATGGGAGTCTGGACAAATGGTTGTTTGGAGTGGGTGTTTTGCCTTGGACTCGGCGGTTCAAGGTTGTTAAAGACGTTGCCGAGTCACTGAGTTATGTCCACTCGAAGCAACTCGCTCACAAGAACGTGAAAACCAGCAGTGTTTTTCTTGATGTTAGCTTCAGAGCGGCTCTGGGTGATTACGGGTTCGTGCTGTCTTCAACTGAGTCAACTCGGTTTGAGTCGGCAGTGAGTCAGAAAGCGGACGTGTTTGATTTCGGAGTATTCGTGTTGGAGGTCGTGGCGGGTCGGAAGAGGTCCGACCCGGGTGAGCCGGACTTGTTGGAGTGGGCCTGGACTATGCACGAGGGAGGCGAGAAGGTGGAGGTGGTGGATCGGAGGATGGGCTCGGTAGTAAACCCGGAGCAAGCGGTTCGGGTTGTGGATATCGGGTTGCTTTGTACTCTGAATGAGAACAAAGGGAGGCCTTGTATGGAGGAAGTGGTGAGGTTTCTGAATTCGGAAAGTCCGGTTCCTGAGTTGCCCCCGACCCGACCCATTTCTTTGTTCCCCTACAGCAGCACCGGTGGTCTCTGCATTGGCTATTCTTGTGTTCCTTTCAAGTGAAACTTAAATGTAACATGCATTGGCTCCAGTTATTGATGACATGTCCCTATTGAAAGTGAGTTTTCAGGAAGGGCTCGAGAAATTATAAAATAGTCCGAAACTATGAGTAAGGCATACTGACTCAGTGGTGCATTATAATTGGTTGAACACATTAATAATTTAGTATATTCATCGCTCTTTAAATATTGTTCGAAACTATGTATATTATCCTATGCGAATTTGCTTTTATTTTTATTGGCTTCCCAATTGCGTACTACTTTTTGAATTCAAAAGGGAGAATAGGAAATTATATTATAAAGAACTTTCATAGAAAGATAAAATGGGGGCTACATTTTTGTATTCTTGCACTTGAAATTATCAAAAAAGAAAGATACCACAATAATTCTTCAAAGCTTACCAAATTGCAATTATTTTCTATTCTTTATTGCTACAGAAGTCCTCAAAAAGTATTCTTAGTTCTCTATTTTAGAGAGATAACATTTCATATTTTCTTTTATTACATCCTAATTGAATCGTGATACTTTAATTGACACACGGTTAATCGGTATCTCACAAAATATGAGACTCACACCACAATATCTATAATGAGTTTCAAAGTTTGGGACTCACACGGCAATATTTATAGTGAGTTTCTGTGTGAGACGATTAAGAGTTTGGATATCGTTAATTTTATTATTTTTCGATCCTAATTTCATATTATCCTTCAACTTAGTGATGTAAAAGGGGGTTGTACCGACCTTTCTAAATAAAGGTATTTCTTGCCAAGGAAGAAATTTTTTTTTTTGTTAATTTCTGGCATATATGATACTTTAATATACATATACATGTATAAACTTATGTGTGTTTGTTTATACATATATTCTCTTCTAACAATTCATAATATGATAGCGTTTTTCTAAACCAATCAAAATTATTAAGTAATAGTTATTAATTATCCAATATGACATCAAGGTTATTTCTTAAAGTTATTTATGTTTAATAAGCATGGACTTATTAAATATTAATTATTTTCTAATTATTTGTATGTGGCTTAACTCTTACTATGATCGATCCTTCGATCTGACATAAGATTGTAAATGAATCGAGCCGAACTGAACTTGAATCTATTTAGGTTTGGTTTGTCCATTTATGGGGTCAGCTTCGAATTGTAATGATCTCGAAAAGCTAAAGCTCAACTTGTCATTATTTGAAAAGTTTGAGTTTAGCTCGTTTAATAACAAAAGTACTTCGAGTACGATTTAAATTTGTGTTCAAGCTAGATTGTTTGGTTCTTTCGTATACTTATATGAGCCTTATACACGTGTATATTCATAAACACATACGAGTTTTTTTTTTTTTTTGAAGATAGTAATGTCGGACTTCTTAGAGCACTTCATAATCCATATTGAATATAAATTTATACGTTTATATTTATAAACACACATTACGAGTGTATACGAGTTTATATTTATGAACATATATGAGTTTACACGAGATCATGTTCACGAGCCAAGCCCAACATTATTTAGGAATATTGACTCGTTTACTAAACGGATCTAGAAACTGATTTTGAGTTCGAGCTTGACTCGTTTGATTAACAAACAAGTCCAAACAGAATCCACCTCATCATGAAACTCTAATTTTAATTAGAGAAATACAATGTGGAGGGTTGAAGTTTTGGTGAGACCTGATTACCCATCAGCTTTGGTGAGAAGAACAGGGCAGCAACGCATCATAGTCTGGTGAACACAGAGCTTCAAAGTTTCCTTCATGCATGAACCACAACAATGATCGATGCCTTGAGAATCAACGAGAAGGTTGCGCAAACCAGAAAGCTTCAAGTAACCACCAAAGAGTATTTTTGTAAATTTTTAAAAAATATTTATTAGTTTTTAATATTAAATAGTAAAGTCAAGTTTGCCATTTTATAACCAGGTTAACAAGTCCAACATGAATACTGCCACAATGTATAAATACCCCTCCCTGTAATCCTAATCATCAGGATATATATAGATAAAGATGAAGCAAGATATGTATAAATATTCTTGATCTTTATATATATCCTGATGATTAGGATTATAGGGAGGGGTATTTTTTTTTTTTTTTAAGTGTAGGGGGTTTTTAATTGGAAAACTACGTTTACATATACTTAGAAGTCTTAAATAACAAACTGGTCTATTTTAAAAGTTCATTTTTCACTTTGGTTGAATTAAGTAAAATAATTACATATATATTAATAACTATTGTTTAGGTCTAAAATGCCCTCTAGTCACTTATTCCAAAATACTAAAAATTATTTCTCTAAAATCAAGTACTTTCTTTAAATAATTTCTTTCCTTTTAACTTTGAACCATATTGCTGCAACTTTCATACACACACGATACCTTATACAAATAATAAAAAAGATTCAATATAGTAAAAAATGGGGCAATCAAAGGTTAGTCCCAAATATATGTATATATATATATATATAAAATTAAACTTAAAAATATATAAATCGTCTCTTGTTGTGGTGCATGCCTTGAGATGGTCATCAATTTTTTTGGTTCAATTAATTACAATTGTTTTATAAATAAATTAAAAAAATGATTGCTGGTGTACATTAAGCAACCATTTAGTTTTTTCATGGTCTCCCTCTCTATCCATTTAGTTTTTTCATGATCAACCTCTCTCGTACATGTTTACAATATGTGTATATATGTATGTGTGTGTGTATATATATATATTCATAGGAAAGTTTTCACATTTACAAGTTTATATTGGTATGAATTAGGAGATATGGTTAAAATTATATGCAAATAAAATTATATATATATATATATATATATAGGATGAATTTTCACTTACTGACAAAAAAAAAATTCTATACATAATGAATTTCTATTAAATTATTTGTATATTTCTAAATTGATATTTGTAGGTTTGAACTGTTAAATTAAGAGATATCGTTAAAGTTTTTTTGGATAAAGTATATTATTTTTTATTTTGTTTATTTTGGTAAGATATAAACCATATGGAGAAATGTCAAGTTGAAAGTCAACTTAAAAATCTTGTTTTTTAAATTTATGAATGAAAGAATGATTTGATTTAGGAATGATATTTTGGTATTTTGAAATAAGTGTTTGGAGGATATTTTGGACCTATATAATAGTTTTTAATGCATATGTAATTATTTTACCTAACTTGACCAAATTGAAAAATTAACTTTAAAAATAGATTGATTTGTTATTTAAGACTCCTAAACCTAGTTAATTGTAGTTTTCCCTTTTTAATTTAGGTTGGGGTGTTATAACACATATTTATAAGGTATGAGGGTTTTTATTTTATGATTTTAACTCTAATTTTATTGTGATAAAACATTTTTGATTGTCAATGAATAAATTAAAAAGAAAAAAGAAAAAAAGAAAGTTAAGTGGACTCATTTCATCTTTAGATGACATTAGTATTATTATTGCCATGATGTGTTAAAAGACTCCTAACAATATTGTATCACACTTGTAGTGAGATAATATAGATCCTCTTAATTATTGTCTTTTATTTTTTATTGACTATGTTGTAGCATAACAAATTGTGACACCAATAAGAGCCTAAGCATTGTCCAACAAATAAATACCATAACATTTCCTTAACTCTTAGCACAAACATTCTTTTCCAATTTTATTTCTTCTCTCTAACTTCATTTGTAATACAAATTCTTAAAATTCAGAAAAAAAAAAAAAAATGAATTCTTAAAGTTTCACGAGGAGTTTTAAATCAGTTCTTTTTGTTTTTTATATTATTTTATTCTATCAAAAGGGTATACAAGAATTCTCGTCAAATTCAAACTCTTATCTGAAATATTTTATTTGTAAGATAAATTTATCTATGTTGCAATTTATCCGAACTAGATCTTTCAAACACAATTGGTATTTGACCCGATAATTGGATTGGATCACATTCAGTCCATGCCCTAGGTCTTGAAGATTGGGCCCAAACCAAATATGGATCGTGGATTGGACCACCCAAGAAATAAACCCTATTCTGAAGGTCTCTTCCATAGATCGTCTTGAACTAAAAATTCAATCGAGTGGACTTCCACAGTTTGGGTTTTACCAGGGTTTTGTAAACCCCTGTGCCCAAACAGTCGCCTAACACCCGCACACAGTTTTCTTGGCGAACAAGAACAACAAGTAGAAGTAGTAGTAGGAGAAGAATAGAAATCCCCAAATCGCAGACTCAAAATTCAATCAATCAAGCAAGAATCCGAAATCATGAACATAGCCAAGCAGAGCTCCATCAAAACCCTAAGATCTCTTCAACACCTAAGCCAATTGGCACCCACTCGCAGATGGATTTCCAATTCCTCTCCCTCCTTGATTCTCAAACAGTCCTCACTCCTCTCCAACCATTTATCTCCTCCTTCTCGCTCCTCTCCTCTCCCATCTCCACTCCCCTTCGCCGTACGCCATCTCCGCACCAGTCGCGATCCCATTTCCAGGTAACAACATTTCACACACACATGAATACTTATATGCGTTCATCTATCTATCTATCTATATATATATCTATTGACTTTGTTTCTGATATATTGATTTATTTAGTAGCTAATGCGTGTGCCTTGTGTGAATTGGTGCCAGATTCCTCCTATCAATTTGGGAGACAATTCATATATACGAGTATATATATGTATACTTTGTAGATATGTGTGGTTTATGCTATTTTGAATTGCTTAGTGGTTTTTACTCGAGCTTGAATTTGTGGTTTCTGCTTTGTTGAATTGCTTAATAATCTATGTAGACACACACACACACACATGTATATAGATTATGTTTCTGCTATATTGATTCATATCAATTTGAGAAAAATATACTTGTTTGCGAATGTATATTTGTACGTATGTGTGGTTTATGCATATATATTAGGTTTCTTTTCTGTTGGATTGCTTAGTAGTTCAAGGTAACAACAATACATACATATATATGTGCAGACGTATATGCGTTCATATATATATACACACGCATACACACACATAGATTATGTTTTTGCTATATTGATTTATTTAGTAGCTAATGCTTGTGCCTTTTGTGAATTGGTATGAGATTCCTTCTCATTAGTCTTGTCAATTTGAGGAACAATACATATGTCTGCGAATATATATGTTTTGTTTATGTATATATTAGATTTCTGTTGTGTTGAATTGCTTAGTAGTTTTTACTTAAGTTTAGATTTGTGGTTGTGAGAATAGGTATGAGATTGCACCTCCAATCAATTGGGGCATACGAATAGTACCTGAAAAGAAGGCTTATGTTGTGGAACGGTTTGGAAGGTATGTGAAGACTCTGACTCCTGGTATTCACTTGTTGGTTCCGTTGGTGGATCGGATTGCGTATGTGCATTCTTTGAAAGAAGAGGCGATTCCGATTCCGGATCAGTCTGCTATCACGAAGGATAATGTTAGCATCATGATTGACGGAGTGCTTTATGTTAAGGTACATTTTTTTTTTTTTTTTTTTTTAATTCAATTTTTTGGATTTGTCTGCTGGATTGGTGGATTGAAAGTTACTGATTGCAGATTGTGGACCCTCGGTTGGCATCCTATGGTGTTGAGAATCCATTGTATGCGGTTATTCAGCTTGCACAGACCACTATGCGCAGTGAGCTTGGAAAGATTACACTTGACAAGACATTTGAGGAAAGGGACACTCTGAATGAGAAGATAGTGGTGAGATTTCAATAGATTTGATGAATTTCATAGTTGTCTGCTTTCTTTTGGGTAGTGGATTGTTTGAGCTCTGATTATGTTAGCATTGAGCATCAATTACTGCATGAGTTCTCTGTTGTAGTCCCAATATCAACATTTGACGTTGGGGGAGGTTGTTGATTCTTTGAAGTACTCCATTGATTCAGTTTTTTAACTCAATAGTATGGCGACTTTTTTACATAGTGGACATATCGTAAACCAAGCTATGGATAATGTTCTTTTATAATTTACAAGAAATATTTATATTATTGAAACCATTGGATAATGCTCTTTAAATTGTGAAAGGTACTTTGAATTTTGAAGAAAGTAATTGAAATAAACTAAGACATTACAACAAATGTTCACCTACCACATACCATATCTCAATAGATTCACATAAATTTTCTACTTTGTACAAACATCAAGAAGTGAACCGTGGACTTCAATGGTTTATGGGAATTGTATGGCACTTGGGAAGGTAATATGGCAAGTTTCTGCAATTGCATGTGAGACTCGTGGACATAATCATTCAGTGCACTGTGCACTTTATCTAGCGCGGGTAATGTGTGGTGCAACTTTGTGAGAAGGAAGTGAATTTAATTTATAATAGGTGCTTATTACAAGTTGCCACACTTACCATTGTTTATGAATATACAGAGTTGAAACTATGTTGAAAGAGTTTGCATGGTGTATTTATTTGGCATATACTGAGTTTGAATAAAAAGGGAATGAACTGAGCTTAGAGTGTGTTGAAAAAGTCTCCATGGTGATGATCTTAGTTAATGAGAGTACATTAGGGTAAAATGGTTAGTTTGAATTAAAAAAGTTTAAAAATAGTAAGTCTAAAACTTATTATATGGAGTGTAAATTTAAAAATTAATATTAAGTATTTTAGAATAGTTAGTTTGATGCCAAGGGATACCAAAAATTGAACGATAGGATCATTTTGGTTCAATCATTCTGAAGGAGGAAGAAGCTGAGGCAACATTCTTATGATATAAAAAACACACACACACACACACACACATATATATATTCCGTATCTTCGAGTTTTATACACCTTGCTTGCTCTTTATGCTGCAATCGGAATCATGTTTCTGTTCTAATGTTGTAGAACTTGATTAGCAGCTTATTTAGTAGGTCATATCTACTCTGTATGGCAAGTATGTTGCAATTCAAGTTCATTATGGTTATATTTTTATCTTTTTATTATATGCTTACAGTTAGTTAATTTTAAACTGGTCTTGTTATCTCAGATGGCCATCAATGAGGCTTCAAAAGATTGGGGTCTGAAGTGCCTTCGTTATGAAATAAGTAAGTGAACTTTTTGTCTAACTTTCTTCTTTTCTTTTTCTTCATTAATTTTTTTCCTACAGTGCTTTCATATACATTTCATTATCTTGTATTCTTTAGGGGACATAAATCCTCCTCGTGGAGTTAGGGCAGCTATGGAGATGCAGGCAGAAGCTGAACGCAAAAAGAGAGCTCTAGTTCTTGAATCAGAAGGTACTGAAGCCTTTTTTCCGCCCCCCTTTATTTATTTTAAATTTCAGTTCTCTCTGTGATTGAACAATGGACTAATCTATGGATTGGAATCAGGGTTGTACTCTGATTCAGACAGTTATACTCCATAGGCTGATTTCTTATTTAATAGAGATGCGTATAATTTTTCATCACATGGCTTTGTAAATTCTTTCTTTGACAACTGAAATTTATATTCGTAATAATAAAAAAAAGAAGTAATTGTGACTCACATCAGTCTAACAAAAGGAGAGATAGGTCTGATGTACATTTAGCATTTGCATTATTCAGGAACCCAACTTGGTCAAGCAAAAGAAAGTCTACACACATAACCCAAAAAACCCATCCCTCTTGACACGATCAACCTGGATACCCGTTTAAGAAAGAATCTCTAAAATCCATAGCAACCAATAAGATTCTTCTATTTACTTTCCAAATGCAACACAACATGCATTCAGTTGATTATCTAACAAAATTAAAATTATAAGGTCCTGGCAATGCCAACTCCCATAACAGTACACCAACTACGAAGGCAGGATCTAGAAACGCCTCATAAGTGGAAAGAAAGAGTTACCAAATCTCTATAGCATCTAGTAATTGGATGTGCAAATATTTCACTGATTTCACCTTATTTCTTTGCATCTAACACCTGTTAGGAATCATCCAACCTCCATTAATCAAGTGACCTGATATCAAAATCTTATGTCATCGTCCAAGCCAAGAGTTTACATTTAAAAGTGCAGTTGACCTATTAATCCTCCTGATGTGAACATTTTTATTAGTCAAGCAGCCTTAGCATATTCAACAAAGATTTTGCCCCCAAATGGGGCCATTGTACTTCATCTCTAAGCTAATTAATTTTAGCCATTTCCCACTGCCTTAAAAGTATAGAGTTTGTCAAGAAAATATTCCACCTCATTCAACCACACAATTTCGACTTCTAACGAAGGGAAGTTAACAAACCTTTTGTGATGTGGCCCGAATTTTGTTTCGGCCTGGGCCGTGTTGTGAACCGGTTCTGAATCATTTTTTTACTTGAGGGCCTTGGACCTTGTTTAGGACTCTCATGTAGCCTAGTATATAAGGGCATTTAGGGTTTGTAGTGGGATATGGGAGAACACTGAAAATAGCAGGAAGAGATTGAGAGAGAGAGAGCTAGGGTTTGGGGGTTGAAACTTTAGACTCCTGATTTTTGCTTAGTGAAATCTTTCGCCGGATCTTTATTGTGGACGTAGGCTTTACGCCGAACCACATAAATCTTTGTGTCCTTTGTGTGTGGCGTGTTTACTTTTCAGCTTGATTATTGATTTGTTTTTTGGTTTACGGCATTTGTCGTAACACCTATTATACCAATGAATGTTGTTTCCAGAGTCTTTTTTCCTCTTATATTCTTGATAACTGGTGAATTATATTTAACAGGAGAACGACAGGCACATATTAATATTGCTGATGGGAAAAAGTGTTCAGTGATCCTTGCATCAGAAGCTTCAAAGATGGACCAGGTTAACAGAGCACAAGGTTAGTTTTCATAATTTTATAATTAACCGTGCGCAAGGATAGTTTTCATGATTTCATCAATTTAGTTATAGCTTCCTCATTTACGGAGTAGTTTTTAATTTAAACACCACAGAGCAGCAGTGATTGGCTAGCTATATCCATATGTAGTGTTGGACATAATTAACTGTTGATTATGCTGTAGACATTTCCAAGTATAGTGGTGAACTTTATGTAAATGTCAATTTGTGGAGCGTTTTATGTTCAATGATGCTCTAGTCCTATATATTCTTGACCCTGCAAATTTTCTGTATTAGCTTATCTATATTATTTGGATAATTCAAAGGATTATTTTGATGTTGATGCGTCTGCAGTATTGTTGCTCCACCTCTTTTATATATTCCACTCCTCATTGACAATTTTTTCAATCCTTCTGTTAAATCAGGAGAAGCAGCAGCTATCTTTGCCAGGGCACAAGCAACAGCTGATGGAATTCTGAAGGTTTCAGAGTCCCTTAAAGAGCATGGTGGAGTAGAGGTAATGATCTTCATTACTCTTGATTGCATGTATGGTGTGTTGGGATTTCATACCTTGCATAAGTCTTTCATATTTTATTAACTTGCAGAAATTCCTCACCTTTAACTGTAGAACTTTTCCATGTGATTGGGCTACAAGTTGACTACAGCATTTTAAATTGATGTTTTTAGTTTTTTGGAAATTTAGTTGTTGTACATGGTAACCTGGCTTTGCAGCCTGTAATACATCTAAATTTATCCGATAGTATATATAGTGATTGTTATGATATATGCATATGTGATTGATTAGATGCATTTACCGACACACCGCAATTGCCCATGACAACTGTTATGTGGGGTTTTTACTTTCTGGAGTGAATTGCTGTATGTCTCGGCCTCTCTCTCTCTCTCTCTCGGCAAGTGCATGATGTTTCAGGGAGGATTCTCAGTATATCACTTGGCTGGCTCGTAGTTTGTTTTATATCACTTATATTTCCAATGACTAAACTGTGAAAATGGTAATTTCTGTTGCAATAATAAAAACAGTTGATACCCAGAATAAAATAAAATTCAAGTCGGTGAACACATTGATACAAGTCGACTATATTGGGTTGATGGTTTTTTGGAAATTTAGTTGATTTACATGGTAACCTTACTTTGCAGCCTGTGATACGTCTAAATTGATCCGACAATATGTATAGTGGTGGTTATGATATTTGTATTTGTGATTAGTTGCATTTACTGACACACCACAATTGCCCATGACAACTGTTATGTGGGGTTTTTAGTTTTTACTTTCGAAATTGAATTGCAGTAACTCTTGGCCATTCTCTCTCTCTCTTTTGGCAAGTGCGTGGTGTTTGAGGGAGTATATCACTTAGCTGGCTGGTAGCTATATTACTATTATTCTGGATGACTAAACTATGTATAGGGTTATTTCTATTGCAATAATAAAAACAGTTGATACCCAGAATAAGATAAAACACAAATCGGTGAACACATTGATACAGTTCTGCAATAGGTTGTGAGTATTCTAAATTCTAGTTTGTTGGCAATAGATGCTCTCACTGCCATCAGCAATTTTCAGGAGGTGTTCCATTTAGTGTTTTTTCCTTATGGAAGTTTCCTACCCTCCTTTCTCAAGAACTTATCCATCAAAATCCACAGGACAGCATTCTAGCGACGCAGAAGGTACTTGCGGCAGGAGTTCTGAATAGCTTTACAGCCAGCCTAAGAATTCTCTCTCTCTCTCTCTCTCTCTCTCTCTAGTGGAAAAGTGATTTGGATTATTTTTCCCCCCTTCTGGCTCTCATCTAAGTGCATTCTTAAAAATACTCTGTATTTTATTTGGTTGATTTAAGTCAAATTTTTCTTACACTATCACACATTTTGTTATTTACTTTTGTTCTTATACACGACGTCTATTGGGACAAAATGGTTATTGCAAATTTCTGGTAGTTTCGATAACAATGTTACACATTGGAGTTGCATCTTTCTGCATGCTGTCCCTTTACGTCTACAAAATGTAGTTATGCGAATCAGTCTCTGTCAGCCATTGCATGCCTTCCTGGGGAATTCATAGTATTTTCTTGTTTTCTGCAATTTGCGGAGTTTCACTGTTTCTTGCCCTTTCCTCACTTGAAATGTGTTGTCACTACTTTACATATGCAATCTGTCAGGTCTTCACCTCTTTGGTAAAAACTATGCTTTTGATATTGTTTAAAGATGTACAAAGAATATGGTATGTCATTTGCAAAAGCTCAGACATGAATTATTGAGTCTAAATTTATTTGCATATACTGAAATATTCTTTATTTACGAAGCTCGTAGTTGATATGCATTAAGGCTCATGATTGTGGTTGGATTTGCAGGCAGCAAGTCTAAGAATAGCAGAGCAATACCTCCACGCATTCGGCAATATAGCCAAAGAGGTTAAGCCCGGACCTATTTTAAGATTGTATCATATTATTGGTTTTGATGCTTAATGACCAGAGCGTTTGATTTCTATTTTCCTTCTTCGTCCTCTCAGGGCACAACAATGCTGCTTCCTACAAATACTACAGATCCTGCCAGCGTAATGGCTGTAGCTCTCCAGATGTATAAGAACGTGATTGGTGCTCAGTCTGCTGGCAATGCACTTCATCAGATCTCCCCCCCAGAATATGAAGGAAAGAAGAAGAATATTACTTCCTTTGATGAAAGTAGGAATGAGAGTAAAGCATCTAATGTAGACCCCGTAGGTGAACCGACGTTTTCCCTCCAGAGCTCCAAGAAGGATAATCAAAGCTGAAGCAACTGAGCTCATTCAGTAATGGAAAGGTTTATTGTGCTCGTCGGTTGTGTTCGCTTTGTAGACTTTTAGATCATACGGCCTTTCTTTTTCTAATTCGGAATCACTGCCTGGTTCTTTGGTTCGACAGTTCCGTGCTGACAAGACAATGGGAAAGTAAGTTCAAATCTATGCCTCCCAAAACTTCGCTTAAGCTGATCTAATTCTGGGCTTTTCTTTTTCTTTTTCTTTTTAAGAGTGAATTCTTATTGCACATTTGCTGTGGAGGTGAATGTGATGTCCTTTTGGTAACTATTACAAGATTTAGAGGAAGAAGGAATTGAACAATATTCGAAACCAACGTTCTGTTTTTGGCCAAACTCTTTATGGATTCTCCTTTTTGCCCAGATCAACAGGGAAGATTTGATTAACTGAAGTTTGCTCGTGTGTGTATTCTGGTTTGATATTGCCTATAATAGACTGCTACAGGGTAGTGTGAACTGTGTGATGCTGGTTAGTCCGCCATCATAGATTTTAGGTGCAGCGGAATGGCAACCGTTTTGATGCGAGTCAGTCCGTCATCCCCCGCTTTACAGCCGGACTCTTTTTCGGATTTTTGGACTGCGGGATTCAAAGCGATTTTCTGTTTTGCCATCACCATTACTTGTCTAGGGAGCAAAGTCCTTTCCATATTCTCTTCCCCAACAACCTTATGCGAAAAAGTGGTTTCATGTTAAGCATTAGTTAATGTGAGAGCGCTTTCATGAAGACTTCATTATTTTTAGTTTGGTCTTGTATGATCAAGTAAATGGTATTCATTATATTACTCAAATTTTCATCATTAATACTGGTGTGAAATGTGAATTGGCCATTGGTAAAACCCATTTTCAATGGGCTACCACTAATTCGCCAGGAAAAAAATAAAAAATAAAATAAACCCTTTTCAATAAATCAAATTTAATTGATTGTCTTGTGTTGCTAGAAAAACTGTTTCCTTTTTGAAGTGGTAGAAAGCTTCTGATTGTATTATCCTCCAAGTTGAGCGTAAATTTATAAGGTTGTGATGAGAATTGCAATCAGAACTTAATTTATAAGGTTGTGATGAGAATAGCCTGTCATCCCCCACTTTACAACTGTTTCCGACTGTGGGATTCTAAACGATTTTCTATTTAGCCATCACCATTACTTCTCTAGGGAGCAAAGTCCTTTCCAATTTTTTTGTCCTTACAATATTAAAGTCAGAAGCTCATTCGACAAAGTACTTTCATGTTAGTTAATGTGAGAGACTTCGGTATTTTTAGTTTGGTCTTCTGTATCTTCACTCCGGCGGGGGTGTCTTGTCTCATCCCATTTGGGTGAGGCTTTGGAGAACCGATTATGTAAATGGGGACAGGAATGGGAGTTGTTTTAAAAAATCCGATGGGTTTTTGGGTGTTTTAGGGAGAGGGTTGCCCCGTCCTGAATATACTATAAATTTATCAAATTACCTTTACATACTATGATATATTTAAGTGTATATATATATATACACAGAACTGGAAAATTTTAACCCTTATTCCGTTTCATGTCTCAAGTTTTGTGAAAAAAGAGAAGTGCGAGTAGGGATGGCAAGAATTCCTACCCTGGCGGAGCTCGCCCCATTTTGGGTTGTTTTGAGAAACCGAATATGTAAATGGGGACGGGATGGAGACTGCTTTGAAAATCCAGGTGAATTTTGGAGCAGTTGTGGGGATGAAAAAATTAAGTGAGGATAGAGAATGAGATCCCGGCCTAGTACAATCCCTAGTCTTCTGTGATAAAGTAATTGGTATTCATTATATTGCTCAAATTTTCACCATAAATACTGGTGTGAAATGTTAATTGGCTAGTTCATTATTTCTCTCTCTCTACTTTTCTCTGGCTTCTCTCTACCCCTCAGCCGCTGCGGCCCTTTGTTCTTCTCCTTTTCTTCTTCCTTTTGCTTGCTCCCCACTCCCTCCCATAGGAGTGGGGAGGTGCCGATTCTTGTCACCCACTGCATAATAAACTCGGCGTGTTATAAATAGTTTGTTCGGTGGGTGGTTCACGCCATTTTGCTGTGCTTTTGCTAGATCTACTCCTGCGTGGCTGGTTTTCTAGCTCGATGGGTAGATCTGTTGTTTTGTCTCCGGCTAGATCTTTGATCTATGCCGGATTTTGTTGTTCCTGCCTCTTGTGCGGGGTTGGGTGGTTTTTCCTCAATCGGCGGTGTCTTGTGGATGCAATCTTGGAGTTGTTGTCTTGCTTGCTGCTTTCCTCCCCTTGGTGATTTCCGCTGTTGTATGATGCGTTGGTGCTAGACGATCTCCTCCTGTAGAAACTATTTAAGTTCTGGTTCTCATGACAATGGTCATGTCTTAGTTTAATATTAAGTTTTTTTGGAATAGTCTGATTTGATGAGTATGTGATTTTATTATGTTCGCGTTTTGTTTGTTGGGTAATTGGCCTGTTGGCTTTTTGTTTATCAGGGCAAATATATATATATATATATATATATATATATATATATATATATATATATATGTTAATTGGCCAACAACTACACCCCATTGAACCCCTTTTCAATGGGCTCCCCCTACTTTGTCAGTAAAAAAAATAATAATGATAAAATAAACCCTTCTCAATAAATCAAATTCAATTGATTGTCTTATGTTGCTAGAAAAACTGTTTTCCTTTTGAAGCGGTAGAAAGCTTCTGATTGTATTATTCTCCAAGTTGAGCGTAAATTTATAAGGTTGTGTTGAGAAATGCAATCAGAACTTAACTTTTTATTTTTTAGAGAAATATGTTGTACATCGATATTTGATTGTTTCAGAATTTATTCTACATAGAAGTAACCCAACATTGTTAATCAATATGCTGAAATGAAACAATAACAAGATGATGACACAGTTTCTTTTTAGAAATTATGTACATTTATTTCTCTTTATTCATAGAGAAACTATATTCAACCATTACAAGGATTTTAATATTTGCAAGCTCTAAAACTCTCTCGTTTGTTGAAACATGTAAACTAAATCAGCGGAGAGTTGAGTTAGGCATATATACCATGTCTATATCCTCGACTGAAACATAGAAAACAGCTCCAAAATTCATTTTGGTTGATAATTTTCTGGAAAATTGGAATTGAAAAGGACCTAGTTTTTGATAATGTTCCTCTGTGATTTTCTAAAAAGTATTTTCTGAAACCCTAATAAATAAAAAATTAATTGAACCGAACAAGTACCAAACTTTTAACTGCCATCATCCCCTATTCAGGAGAGTAACATTTGGGTGAGCTCTATAAATGCACAACACGAGTCTAATTTTGTATACTACTGCAATGCACCAACTCCCAGCAACTAATTACCCAATAGGGGAACTTTCCGATGATTATACAGATTCATTCAAGCTACAAGGCTTCTCAAACGTGTCACCATGTCGAAGGAACGTAAGTGAACTTTCTGATGATTATACAGATTCATTCAAGCTACAAGGCTTCTCAAACGTGTTCATACGAGCACAACGACAAAATGAAACGAACTACCGGATGGATTCATCACCATCACACTTCACACTTCACCTTAATCCCATATGAAAGGGGCCTCTTTCCAAACTTTTCTATTACATACTAAATTATTTCCAAATGCCCAAATAATAGAGACTTTCAAGAAACCAACCTAAAAACAATCACATCCCAGCTGTCTTGGTATCAAACCAAAACAAACCTAACACCAACCAAACAACCAACTCCCCAACACTCCCACCAAATATGTATATACACATATATAATAATATAAATTAAATTGTCAATAAAACTAGCCTCTTACTTCTTACTATTGCATTGTCAATAATCACGCAAAAATTGTAACGCTTATACCCATATTTTGCATTCAACATGATACAATGTCGCATCAGAACCCACCCAAAAAGAACAAGAACATCTGAGCCACCCTCTTCTTTACTGTGAGTGCCCGGTCCTGGTTAAGATTATGTTTCAATTTTGCGGTCCTTATCTATATATCAAAGAGTTCTTTCACTGAGATATAAGGTCCGAACATGAGAAATACTATCCACCTTTAAATACAAATGAAATGGGAGGGAGGTGAGAGATGATATTAAATACTAAGCATATGATCCAGTGTCAAACTGAACTATTTTTTCTAACATGATCAAATGATCTGTTTGCTGAACTACTTTCAAATCGATAAACTACATGTCTGATACTTCATTATTATTATTTCTTCTTCTTTTTTTCCCAGACTGCTCATAATCATAATAGATATTTGTTAACCAAAAATTAACAAAAGACTAAAAAATATTGCCTATTAACAACTAATCAGCTCCTGAGAGCTGCAAAGTTAAATCTTTAGTTGATTAGGATCTGGCAAAAACAACTAAACAAAACAGTAAGAAATTTGGGATGTAAAAACCAAAAATCAGTTAAGAACAGAGGATAGAAATAAATTTAAACATCTGAAGTTGTGGGAAGATTTAAGATATGACTACCTTGGGCATTGAGTATTTACTTTTAAGAACTGGATTCTTTGCAAAGGATAGTTGCAAATTCGGAAAAGGTATTGCTTATGCAGCGGAACCAATCATAGATAATACGTAGATTTTCCAACATATATATTGTAGTGGATCGATTTGGTACTTTTAAATCCTGGCCGAGTTGGAATTTGAATGAATTAACAAACTTTCACACTATGATGCAATTGTCTTGGATAGTAAATCAACATGACAGATGAATTGGAACTGAAAATCTTTTAATAGCCATAGAACTCGTGAGTTGCATCACTCACTCCTACTGATACTACTATTACTCTACATACAAAGGTCGGTAGAGATGGCAAAGAAAGCAGGCTACAATCGAGCGATTTGATTAATAAAACACACCTCCAGAAAGGACTAACCATCCATTCTACAATTTCTACACTTGCAAACACCGGTCCCATACGCAACATATTCAAATATATTTTTGCTAATGTGTCCATTACAAATCAATATCACAGTAAATGAAGATTCAAACAAACATTTTCTTTAACTTGTGGCTTGTAAATCAATGAAGGGAAACAATTCTCTCTAAAATGCTAGTATGAAAGTGTATAATCAACTTTGCTCAACTACAAGATTTTCCACATTTATTATCTAAGTTCTTCAGAATTGATACTATAATATAGTTAAAAACAAATTGGAATTGCAAGTAAATTAATGATAAGTACACAAAGAATATGACTTCCATTAATTGAAAAAACAGAATACAACAACAAAAACAACAAAATCAAGGGAACAATGGTGTAAATCTCCCTTCTACACACAGAATTATACATACATATATATATATATATATATATATATAAAGATCAAGAAAAATTAGAACAAGAAACCGCCGAATAATCAAACTGTAACAAATCTAACCTCAAATCAAAGAAGATGAGAGCAGAGAATGTGCATTAGAGAAGGCCAAACAAGACAGAGAAGCCAAGCAAGATGAGCCACAACATATGAACCAATAGCAGTGCCTGACCAGAGACATCGCTGGTCCCATTCCCCACATCACAAAACCCTAGCTTGGCCACGCGAGTGCCGGCGCAGACGGCGTCGCCACACCCGCACCAGTAGGTGACGCCGTCGGCGCCGCAGACGGGGTCGGTTTTGAAGCAATTGACGGGGCAGGAGGGCGGGGACGCCGTGCCGGAGCACAGATCTTCGCCGTTTATCTCGCCGGAGCCGTCATCGCCCGGCAAGCGAATGAGGGATTGTGATCTGGCGGTGGGAGGGAAAGAGCACAGCCCAACGACGGCGGCGAAGATGAGGAGACAGCGAGCAGATCTTGACATGATTGGCAAGTTTTCTTTCGAAGAAAAGAAAACCTCGCCTTTTGCTAATGGTGTGTTTCGATTCTTCAATCACTTTCCAGCAAAGAATCTGATCCTTTCACCAAACCCTAACTGAAGAAATTAGGGTTTGTTGTTGGGGAAGAAAGGGATACCGAATCGGGAATTGAATTGAAGGGAGACAACTAGATTGGAAGAGAGAACGGTGACGAAGTCTTTTCTTGTAGATTCCATAGTAAAAAACTAGAAGCATTTCATTAGGTTAACTGTCTTGTAATTATCGTATTATTTATTAATTTATTTTCAACACCTTCTACGTAGCAGCTGGAATTTTTTTTCCAGTTTTTTCATAGAATAATAAGTCAACGAAGTTTGAACACAGACGCGTTCTTGATGCGGTATGAATACAGTAATACATATAACTCTACAAAATTAAGTCACTGAATAAATAACAAAATAATTTAATAACTTAATATCTCTTTTTTTTTTTTAATTTCAACTTAATATATTCTTGTACGTATATAAACAATATATTTGTCACCGAATAAATAAGAAAATATGTCATTGAATAAATAACAAATAATTTAATTACTTATTATATACCTTTTTTTAATTTATTAATGAAGTGGGGATTTGAACTTGGTATAAATTTTAATATACCCTTGGCCTTTGCCCGCAAGCCACTAGTAATATGTCACACCACATCCAACATAATATATACTTGTATGTATATATAAATAATAAATTTGTTATTGAATAAAAAACAAAATAATTTAATAACTTATTATATACTTTCTTTTTTAAATTTACTGATGGAGGGGGAATTCGAACTTGGCCTTGGGCCACAAGTAACAGATAATCACTGAGCCACCACATCCAACATAATATATACTTATATGTATATAAACAAAAAATTTGTCATTGAATAAATAACAAAATAATTTAATAACTTATTATATACATTCTGTAATTTATTAATGGAGTGGGGATTCGAACTTGGGCTTTTGGCCACAAGACACACATGCCCTACCACTGGGCTATCACACCACATCCAACATAATATATACTTATATGTATATAAATAATAAATTTGTCATTGAATAAATAACAAAATAATTTAATAACTTATTATATACTTTATCTAATTTATTGATGGAGTGGGGATTCGAACTTGGGCCTTTGGCCACAAGCAATACATGCCCTACCACTGGGCTATCACACCACATCCAATATAATATATACTTATATGTATATAAACAATAAATTTGCCATTGAATAAATAACAAAATAATTTAATAACTTATTATATACTTTCTTTTTTTAATTTATTGATGGAGTAGGGATTCGAACTTGGGCCTTTGGCCACAAGCAACACATGCCCTATCACTGGGCTATCACACCACATCGAACATAATATATACTTATATGTATATAAACAATAAATATGCCATTGAAAAAATAACAAAATAATTTAATAACTTATTATATACTTTTTTTTTTTTTTTTTTAATTTATTGATGGAGTGGGGATTCGAACTTAGGCCTTTGTCCACAAAAAACACATGCCCTACCACTGGATTATCACACCACATCCAACATAATATATACTTATATGTATATAAACAATAAATATGTCATTGAATAAATAACAAAATAATTTAATAACTTATTATGTACTTTCTTTTTTTAATTTATTGGTGGAGTGGGGATTCAAACTTAGGCCTTTGTCTAACACATGCCCTACCACTGGGCTATCACACCACATCCAACATAATATATACTTATATATATATAAACAATAAATTTGTCATTAAATAAATAACAAAATAATTTAATAACTTATTAAATTTGTTTCAAGTTCTTATTGGATTGGATTCAGAAAGAAGCCGACCACCACCACGACGATGACAACTAGGAGACGACTGTTACAACTTGTTTCTTGAAAGTTGAAACAAGGCTATTGCCTTCTCATTCCCAGTCTGTATAATATAAGAGAAATATATTTATTTTTATTTATTTCCATTTTTTTTAATTTTTGATATTTTAAATAACTGAAGAAGGATCTACGTCATGTGATTCATGTTCATTGTTTTATCATTCATTAGTTGTTTTATGATTACAATATTAGGAATAGTGTCAACATCCATTGTCTTACTACAAATCAACATAACATATATATATATATATATATATATATATATATATATATATATATATATATATATATATTATATGATTATTTTTTTAGAAAATATAAATAAATGAGGTCAGTTTGAGAAATTCTACACTGCCCAACTGGTATTTTGACACCACGATACCTCTTATTTCAAGTGAAGTTTCATAATATTGTGTGTCAAAATAAGGCTATGTTTGGTATATTGGATTTAAAAGGAAATGATAACATTAGTTACGAGGGAAATAAGGCTATGTTTGGTATACTGGATTTGAAAGGAAATGATAACATTAGTTACGAGGGAAAGGAAATGGAGTGATAATTTTAATCTCTTATCGTGTTTGGTTGATTATTGAATGAAAAAGAAAGGGAAGGATAATAATCAAGTTTGGGAAAAGAATGGGAATGATAGGATGGAGAATTATTTTAATAAATTTACTATTATACTCTTTTATATTTTAAAATATAAACTTATTTATTTATATATATATATATATATATATATATATATATATAGATATATTTGTCTCCTATAAGGCCCATGGATCGGCCACCAGAAAATGAAATTTTTTTTTAGGGCAAATCATTTCAGCCTCCATCTCTATCCTCGTTCTCAACTCTGAACTTGTCCTTTCTCTCTCTCTCTCTCTTTCTCTCTACAATTGCAAACTACTACAAGAATCAGAAGTTCAAAACCCATATATTTCAGTTTATATATTTATCTGCAAGAATCAAAAGTTCAAAACCCATATCGGCATCATTTCAGATTGTTCAAAAAATCAAAACCCAATTTCAAATTGTTCAAAAAATCAAAACTCATATCGATCTTTCAGTTTCCATTGCCCGCTGTTCCAATTCGGGTTAGCCGTTCGCAAGCTTCAGCCGCTGGCCCTCTTTCTCTCAACTCTCAAGTTTCCCCCCCCCCCCCCCCCCCCCTCTCTCTCTCTCTCTCTGTAACTGCTAAATCAACTAATCAAGGTCTGTAATTCTTGTTTTGCAAACTCAATTCACATGTAATCAAAGGCAAATTTGGCATTAGAAATCACACACCAAGCCTCTCCTTCCCTTTCCCTTCATTTCCTCCCATTTTTGGGAGGTTAAGAAATTCACTATTAAAGCCTTATTTTAACCATCCAACCCCTTCCCATTCCTTCACTTTCCTTCCAACAATTTTTGCTCCCTTTTCCATTGCACCAAACTGACCCTAAAGGTTAGTAATGTAAAATTACTATAAAATTATCTCAATCTAATAATTTAGGAAGAACATTACTCTTTATATGTATGTATGTATATATATATATATATATATATATATATATATATATATATATATAATTGAATAATGCTACCATGAAGTAAATCTCATGATAGTTTTCCTGAGTTTTCTCAATTATGTTGCTGTGTACATTTATTCAAATGTAAATCTAATTAAATTGTGGCTAATATTTTTTACAAAGAAATAATTTTAGTATTGGCTACGAGAGGAAGTTACTTGCAATGTTTTTGTGTTCAAAATGTCATAATTTAAAGAAGAGTTCATGAAATCAACCTGAAAAAAATGTCTTTGTGTAGACTCTATTTGCAGTAGTTTAGAAAATTACTGATTTTGTTTTTCATCACCATTAAATAAATAAATTTAGCATTCATATGCCTCGTTTTGAAAGAAAAATAGAGTTAAAAAAAAAAAGGAAACGAGGAAGACAAGAAAAGCCAATACCATAGACTTGATCTTTGTTTTTGAAAGAAAAAGGCATGCCTATCAACATTATTATTTTCAGTCTAATCAGCAAGAAAATGTTAGAAAATCAAACAAAAATTCATATAACATAAAAGAAAAAAGAAATGCTGGGAAAGAGATCAAGGTACCAATCAGAGCATTCAGGTTTACACTTCAGTGTTAGTAACTTAATTTCTTCCACTTATCCAAGTTCCTAGATTTTTATTTTTTTATTTTTTTTGTGAAGTGAACAATATAATACTTACAAATTGTAAAATTTTCGGTCACTATTAAGCATATTAACTAGCACAATCTTGAATACCATCGGTCAGAGAAATTTTTTTATTGAGATGTTTTTTTTTTTTTTTTTTTAATTTTATTTTATTTTATTAAAGATCTAAAATTACCATTATTAGTTCAGAAAATACTATTGTTGGGCATTGAAAAAGATACAAGTGCAAATGGTTCATGTAATTAAAAGAGAGAATTGTTTGCCTAGATCGAAAATATCACAGCTCGCAATTAAAAAACTTAAATTTTAGAGAAGACATGTGATCTAAAAAGAGAGAACGAAAAAAATAGGATTGATGTGAGGATCCCATTTATTTGGTACAAAAATATATTATTGAAAAATATATATTTTCTGTGAGATTAAAGATATAACAAACTTTATACTAATATGTTATGGAATAGTTAAAATATGTTAAGAAGTAATTAATTAATTATGTAATTCAATATTTAATTAAATATACAAATAAAATAATAATATAAATAAATAATCTAAACATTATGTCCCTATCACAAACTTAAATAATACAAACTTTCACCGTAGACACCTAAGTCCCTACAACACAATAACAATAAACAAACTAGCTTTCACAGTAGACACCAAAAATTTTTCCAGTTTTTTAGTAGAATATATGTATTGATACAGTATGAATACAGTAATACATATAATTCTACAAAATTAAGTCACTGAATAAATGACAAAAAAATTTAATAACTTAATATATGCTTGTATATATATATAAAATAAATTTTTGCTCATATGTCCAACATTAAAGCTTAGAAAACTGAATGTTTTTTTAATCGTAACTATGTTTTGTAGAAGTTTGTTTTGAGAAATTCAAAATTTTGTTTTACTTCTTTCGCTGTAGTACTAAAATACACAATATCACTAATTTAGAAATATAAATTTTGACCAAAAAATCTGATATATTATGAACTATTCCAAATTAATATCAGTCGTCTCAAACATAATATAGATCCAAATTTAGATATCAATATCAGAAAAATAATATCATTATACTTTCCAAACAGACCCTTAAGTCCTTGTTTTTGTTGTCCATTTGGACAAGGTTACAACATGTTTGGTAATGACCCAGCTGTAGTTTCGGGCTCATACTTTTTAAAGGGATGTCATAGCCTCATAGGTAATGTATGTGAATAAATTATTAAGTTTAATTCAGTTACACCTCCTATGGTTTGCCCAATC